AAGATCTTCTGAAGCCCTTATATACCCGAAAGACATTCTAAAGCTTTTCTATAACCAGAAGACCTTCTAAAGCTCTTCTATGATCAGAAAACTTTCTGCCACTGAATCTCTTTTATAACCAGAAGACCTTCTGCCACTAAAGCTCTGCTATGACCAGAAGAAATTCTAAAGCTCTACGACGGCTAGAAGACCTTTTAAAGCTGTTCTATGGCTAGAAAACTCACTGAAGCTCTTCTGTGGCTAGGAGACCTTCTAGCTATGACTAGAAGACCTTCAGAAGCTCTTCTATGGCTAGAAGACCATCTAAAGCTTCTCTAAGGCTAGAAGACCTTCTAAAGCTCTTCTATGGCTAAAGACCTTCTGAAGCTCTTCTATGACTAAAAGAACTTCCACACCCAGAAGACCTTCTGCCACTAAAGCTCTGCTATGACCAGAAGAAATTCTACAGCTCTACAACGGCTAGAAGACCTTTTGAAGCTTTTCTTTGGCTAGAAAACTCACTCACTGTGGCTAGGAGACCTTCTAGCTATGACTAGAAGACCTTCTGAAGCTCTTCTATGGCTAGAAGACCATCTAAAGCTTCTCTAAGGCTAGAAGACCTTCTAAAGCTCTTCTATGGCTAAAGACCTTCCAGACCCAGAAGACCTTCTGCCACTAAAGCTCTGCTATGACCAGAAGAAATTCTAATGCTCTACGACGGCTAGAAGACCTTTTGAAGCTGTTCTATGGCTAGAAAACTCACTGAAGCTCTTCTGCGGCTAGGAGACCTTCTAGCTATGACTAGAAGACCTTCTGAAGCTCTTCTATGGCTAGAAGACCATCTAAAGCTTCTCTAAGGCTAGAAGACCTTCTAAAGCTCTTCTATGGCTAAAGACCTTCTGAAGCTCTTCTATGACAAAAAGACCTTCTGAAGCTCTGCTATGGCTACAAAACCTTCTGAAGTTCTTCTATGGCTAGAAAACCATCTAAAGCTTATCTAAGGCTAGAAGACCTGTGAAGCTGTTCTATGGCTAGAAAACTATCTGAAGCTCTTCTGTGGCTAGAAGACCATCTATGGCTAAAAAGATTTTTAAATTTCTTCTGTGGCTAGAAGAGCTTCTGAAGCTCTTCTATGGTTAAAAGACCTTCTGAAGCTCTTCTATGGTTAAAATACCTTCTGAAGCTCCTCTGTGGCTAAAACACATATAAAAAGACTACAAACATAAGACCTTCTGAAGCTCTTCTATGAACCGAAGACCTCTTCCATGACTAGAAGAACTTCCGAAGCTTTTCCATGAATAGAAGAACTTCCTATACTTTCCTATAATAAACTCCGATGCTCTTTTTTGCAGACCTTCTATGGACAGAGGACCTGCTAAAGCTTTTCTACGGATAAAGAAGTTCCTCTGCCGCTTAAACGGCAAAGGTCATCGTTTTATTGATAATGTGCTGTGTGAAAATCCATGTCGTTATATTCTACAGTTTAAAGCCTTTCTAAAGTCTATTTGTTTGTCAAGAGGTTTTTGTAACTCTTTTAGGGCTAAAGACCTTCATTAAGCTTCCCTTGTACAAAAGAATGCACCCAACGTTGGGCGCCATCTCCTTGCAGTTAATTGGCCAATATTTATTCGATTAATCTATGAAATTATGAGAATTAAATTTTTAATTGTTATAGCCATTACCTCTTTACGTTGGGTGCCACTTTCCCTCACACATAGAAAATTAAGTATCAATCACCAAGACCAACCTCAGATTACAATTCGATTATTCTGATTTATCAGAACTTTTCTTTCCTTTGCCAATCTAAAGACTTTTTCAAAGATATAAAACAGCATAAGAGATAAAGGAAAGGGTAAAAATATATTTTATTTTAAAACTTCCCTTCCGGGTTTATTTATTACTTGCGAAATTTCAAAAATAAATAAAGGGGAAAAGTACTAAGAAGCCCTCCATAGCCACAACAAAGTAATGAGCGTTTTCACAAAAAGAATTGAATCCAGAAGAGGGGAAAGCCCCTATGCCAGAGCATATGCCACGTGACAATCAACTCAATGGGGGGAGACCATGACAAAATGTGGCGTGTAAAAATATTGCAGCTAGACGACTACCCTACATCAGAGTGGAGTGAAGCGGAGTGTAGCATGTCCTTCTATGGTTGACGGCAGATGTTGACAGCATTATGCCAAAATGAATACTTTGGAAATATACGCTTTTGAAACACACATATTAAAGTGAAACACCTACCGCAAACACCCTTCGTTTAACAAAGTAAATGGACAAGTTGCCCCCCTCCCGCCGTCTTATGTCTCTTCCCTATATCCCTCCCCCCATGAAAGTTTTTAGTAATTTATATATGTAGACAGTATCCATAAAATAAGCCTTATTTATTTTATCAATGAATGATGCCATAGCCATGGTAACCAAATGGATTTACTTTTTTTTGGGGAGGGGGTGAGGAGGAAGAAGGGAGCATATTTGGTTCTTTGGGAAGTTGGTTTGCCACGAAAATGAGGACAATTGTGGATAGGGTATTATCTTATGAATGATGAGTGGTCGGAAGTATAGATATGGGTTTTATTTTTATACACTTCAATTTTGATAATAAGCATCCATTCACTAACTGACTCACTGGCTGGCTGACGGACTGACTGACTGACTTGCTGGATGGTTTACTTTGGAGATTCCCCACAAAACAAAAAAGCCCAAGAAAATGGAACAGAATATGCCTACATCAAAGGCTAGTCAATGACAGACATAAAACATTTGTGTTTATGTATGTCCACCACAACAAAGTGATGTCATCGTCAGCAGCAGCATCAGAAGTAGAAAAAGCATTGGATTCCAATGAACTGGAACACATTGTGCTGAATCCATTGTTCGGTTGCAAAGAGAAGTGAAATGAAATAAACTAAAAAAAAATACAAAAATGGATCCAAAAATTCTCATTTTACTGTCAATGCTTTAACTCAAACTTTTTGGGGCGAATCGAAGGCCATTCTGGTGATGGAGTGTTTTAACGTATTTTCGGTATTACAAAAATATTTTCAATCAAAGAAAAATAATTTGAAATGAATGTTCTAATCAACAATACTCTACCCTGAAACTCTCTAGGAGTGCTGAAAGGCTAAAAAAAGCTTCAGACGTCCATTTACAGAAAAGCTTAAGGGGGAGATCCATTCAGGAAAGATATTTAGAAGAACTTCTATTTGAGAAAAAAAAAAAATCTTCCGAAAGTTATCCGTTCATAGAATAGGTTTCAATGGTCTTACAGCCAAAAAGGATTTTCCGATACTTTGGATCGTCTTCTATCCACGGAAGAGCTTCAGGGGGTCTACTATTTATATACGATGTTATAAAGGTGTTCATATGGTCACAAAATAAATTCAGAAAGGTCTTTCAGCCATAGAAGGTCTTCAAAAGATACTAGAAGCATAAAAAGAACATTCAGTAGGTCTCCTACATACAGAAGAACTTAAAAATGTCTTCTAATCATAGGAGACTCACAGAAGATCTTTTGTGGATGAAAGAGGTATTTATCCCAGGGAAGGGCCTCTAGTCACAGGAATGCTTCAGAAGGTTTTCTGCACATAAAAGAGCTTCTGAAGGTCTTCTGGACATATAAGGTTTTCAGAAGGTCTTCTGGACATTAAATCGCTACAGTAGATCTTCTTTTCATAGGTCCTCTAGACATAGAAGAAGAGCTTCAAAAGATCTTCGGTTCACAGAAGAGCTTCAGAAGGTCTTCTAGCCATAGAAAGGCTTCAGAATGTCTTCTTCTCTTCATAAAAGAGCTTCAGAAGGTGTTTTGGTTATAGAAAAGCTTCAGAAGGCCTTCTGGTCATAGAAGAGCTTCAGAAGGTCTTCTAGTCATAGAAGAGCTTTAGAAGATTTTCTCTGCATAGAAGAGCTTCAGAAGGTCTTCTAGTCATAGAAGAGCTTCAGAAGGTCTTCTAGTTATAGAAGAGCTTCAGAAGGTCTTCTAGTCATAGAAGAGCTTTAAAAGGTCTTCTAGTCATAGAAGAGCTTCAGAAGTTCTTCTAGTAAGAGGTCTTCGGTTCATAAAAGAGCTTCAGAAGGTTTTCTTTCCATAGAAGAGTTTCATAAAGTCTTCTTTCCATAGAAGAGCTTCAGAAGGTCTTCTAGTTATAGAAGAGCTTCAGAAGGTCTTCTAGTCAGAAGCTTCAGAAGGTCTTCTAGTCGTAGAAGAGCTTCAGAAGGTCTTCTAGTCATAGAAGAGCTTTAGAAGGTCTTCTAGTCATAGAAGAGCTTCAGAAGTTCTTCTAGTCATGGAAGAGGTCTTCGGTTCATAGAAGAGCTTCAGAAGGTCTTCCGTTCGTAGACGAGCTTCAGAAGATCTTCGATTCATAGAAGAGCTTCAGAAGGACTTTTTATAATATAACAGCTTTAAAAGGTATTTTAACCATAGAAGAGCTTCAGAAGGTCTTTTAACCATAGAAGAGCTTCAGAAGGTCTTCTAGTCATAGAAGAGCTTCAGAAGGTCTTCTAGTCATAGAAGAGCTTCAGAAGGTCTTCTTCTCTTCATAGAAGAGCTTCCAAAGGTCTTCTTATTTTCATAGAAGAGCTTCCAAAGGTCTTCTTATTTTCATAGAAGAGCTTCCGGAGGCTTCAGAAAGTTTTTATTCGTAGAAAAGCTTCAGAGGGTATATTTTCATGGAGGAGCTCCAAAAGCTTTTCTAGCACTAAAATAGGTTCAGAAGGTATGTATTTCTAATTTCAGGGTATCTTCTCCGCATAGAAAAGCTTCAATTCGTTGTTTTTGCACAGCAGAGGTTCACAAAATCTTCTACGGATAAAAGAACTTTAATCAACATTTTGCTCTCTTTTCTTTTGATCTGCTCTTTTACATATCTTAAATTCTCATCCTTCAACATTTTCCAATTTATAATTATCCCAGGGTAAATGCAATACACACAATGTAACTTGATCTATTTAAACTCAAAATATTTCGAAAATAGCAACAACAACAACGCAAACAGTTTAATAAACACAAAATTGCTCACCCAGAAATGAAAAATACCGCAAAATTCCTTAAATGTGATGTGTGCAACATACCTGAAATGAGAGAACAACAGCAGCAAAACAAATTAATAAATAAATCGAGAAAAACGAAAACTATTATTGGTGTTGAATTCCGCAAAAACAAAATTATTAACGAATTCGAGCAAAAAAAAAACACACAATTGGCAAAAAGCTGAAATGAAATCATAAAACAAAAAGAATTTAAGGGAAATTATTTACGAAGAAAAAATTACACAGTAAACATTTGAACGGCCAGATCCGTCGTCATATTATAGTTTGAAGATGGCGGATAAAATATGGCACCGGTGGTTCTCAATTAAAAAAAAAATAAAATTTTTGTCATATGTATATTTGAAAGTTTTCCGTGTTTTTTTTTAAGAGAGTATCACGTTGGGCGCCATTTTAAATTTTGGTAAATAAGACAATTGGCTTGTCATCAAAAATATCTTCGTGAAAGTGAATGGATATTTCTTAAACAAAAAAACACATGACGAGCTTTTGTTTTATTATGCGGACCCAACTTAGGCGCCATAAATAGTAGTAGCATGTTGGCCCTCAATATCCACAAAAATTCATGATAGTGTAGTTGTTTTCAATAATCGAAGAAACCGGACAAAAACTAAAAAGAACCAGTAGAGAAAATTTTAAAGTCGGGCGGGCCACATTGCTAATTTAGTAGAGCTGCGCATAACAATTAAAAGTTTTTATGGGAGAATTCAATCATACACGCTATGATTATAATTATAATTTAAAGTTCAAAGAACTAAATATGCGAAACATTTGTATCTATTAAATTCGGGCCTGTATTTGGTGCGCAATTAATTTGAAATCGGATAAAAATGTATATGGGAGCTATATCCAAATTGGAACCGATCTCGATAAAATTTGGCAAAGATATTTCTGAGCTGTATTTAATATATTTCCCTGAATAACGTTGTTCCGGAGTGCATATTACGGTTGTGGGTAACAAATATGACAAATCGGATGAACAGTATATATGGGAGCTACAGCTATATCTGAACCGATTTCGATCAAATTTGTCATACTTATTTTCAGGTCCAATCTGATCGTGCGTGCAAAATTCCATACTATTCGGACTGATATTACACGTTTGGTGCACAATAAAAGGCAAATCGGACGAAGATATATATGGGAGCTATATCTAAATTTTGCCCGATTATCTCCAATTTCAATAGGATTCGTCCTTGGGCCAAACAAATGATTTGTGCAAAATTTCATCGGGATAGGGCAATAAATGCGAACTGTACTTTATTTACAAAAATACATGGACAGACGGACGGACGGACATGCATAAATCGACTCAGAATGTGATTCTATGCAGATCATCAAAAGGAACTATGGGTCTATCTCGTTTCCTTTTGCCTGTTACAAACAAATGCACAAAGACATAATAACCTGACCACCTTGTGGTGTAGGGTATAAAAATGTACACTTTAAAAATATTTTGGGGCACCACGTTGGGCGCCATTTAATGTTTTAAACTATGACTTCAGATCTTCAAAAAAATATCGGAGAGAAGCTTCATTGAGCCACACATTGGACGCCAAGATTGCCCTCATAATATGGGGAAATTCAGATTATGCTATTCAGGGGAGCAGAACAATAATACCAATGAGCGATAGTTTGAAATAAACAAGAACCATTTTTATACCCGCAGCCATATGCTAAGGAGCATATCATTTGATACGGCAAAACGTACCTCATCGAAATAACGGTTTTAGTCCCTAGGTGTCTTTGGACCAAATCCATTTCAGGACATTGGGAGTCAATCTAGCGATGTCCATCTGTCTGACTGGCTGGTGCGCACGATAACATTCGGGACTATCCGATTTGGTCCAAACTTCGTGCATCGTAATATTATCAAACATATATCGATTTCGGAGTTGGGCAATATTGGTCCACTCCTTCTGGTACCTCCCCTCCAAGAGGTCAACATTTTCAAAAAAAAATATATTTTATAAGTATAATGCGATTTTGTTCTAACTTTGCAAATCCTAATATTTGCGTCAGTGCTAAATCAGGTGAGAAAATGGACAGAATCGGTACAATCCAGCAAGTAAGCCGACGTCAAGGAAGTGGACGGAAGAACAGCAACAAGAACAGCAACATCAGCAGCAATGGTTTGAAAATCAAGAAGCGACTTGATCGCAATTCCTGTCGCATTAGCCGAAAAATTGCTCGTGACCTGAACATATCACAATATTCCATTCGGCAAATATTGAAAAATGAGCTCGGGGCTCGGAATCGGAGCTATTGAAATTCCAAAAAGTGCAAGAACTTACACCGCAACAGAAAGAAAATAGACTCAAAAGAGCTTGGCCGAAAGAGGTGAACTGCCGAATTTGGTTTTCTCCCATGAGAAAACATTCGTTGTTCAGCAGTTTGTAAAAAAAGAAACAAAATGATCGTCTTCACTTGCCAAAGAGGTCAGCTGAAAATGTGCACCTTCGGTTGGCCACCAGAACTCAAGCGTCGGTCATGGTGATGGTGTGGGCAGCAATCGCCATAACAACCGATGGTCGCTCTCCGCTCGTATTAATCGACTGTGGCATCAGAATAAATGCCGAATATTATCGCGAAAATATTCTTGAGGGTGTATTAAAGCCCTGGGCACGCAACAATTTTGTCCGCAGACCTTAGACATTCCAACAGGACTCAGCACCACCGGACTTAGCACGCGCCACCAGAATCTCCGGATACAAATCCGTTGGACTATTGTGTCTGAAGTGTTTTGGAAAGCAAGGTTGCCACTAAAAAATACCAAAGCGTCGATCACCTCAAGCCAGCGCTTCACCGGGAATGGGCCAAAATACCGCAGAGCAACACTCGGGCAGCGTGTGACGGTTTTATTGGCCGTTTGAAGGCCATAATTCGTGCCAAAGATGACGAATTCTAAAAAATCTAAACTTATTCTAAAATTTGATGCTATTTCCGACATTTTTTGCTTTCACTTAATAAAATTAAAAGTCAGTAAAGGTCAGTTTTTTATCTCACCCTATATATCACTTGGTACGTTCAAAATATGCCTCATCGAAATAAAGGTTTTAGACCCCAGGGCAATATCGGTCAGCTTTTTCTGGTACATCCCTCACAAAAGGTCAACATTTTCAAAAAAAAATATATTTTATTACACAAAAAGTGAAATCTGATTTTTTTTTCAACTTTTTGTATCCAAATATATGTATCAGTACTAGACAGGTGCCAAAAGTGGACAATATCGGTCCACTCCACCAAGTACCTTAAGCTCAAAAAACGCGAAAATAACATCCGATTCCATTCAGATTTAGTACATCTCAATATTTCCATCAGCACAAGATCTGTTGTAAAGATAGTAGAAATCGTACCATTTCTTCTGGTTCTCCGCCACAACGGGCCAAAATTTTGAATTACCAAAAACGATCATAAAATCCGAAATAAGCATCCGGTTCTGTTTATATTTCACTCATCCCATTTTTTCAACTAACACAAGATCGGTTGTATTGTGTCTGCGAACCCCTTCCGATGCCTCATCCACCAAGGGGTCAGCGACAACTTTACAACTTCCTATATCTGAATATTTCTCTCATCCAGTTACCTGAAATGAATATGGATTTTATGATTTCGTATAAAATTGGATATAAATGTTCGATTTCCTTTAACTTTTGCACGTGCCAATATTTTTATGTACTCAGATACGAACTGGACAATGTTGACCAACTGCTTCGGAAACTCCCACATAAAGGGTCAACAGTTTGAATAATCATAACTCAAGGCTGAGGTTATACATCTGTCCGATGATCCTTCTAATATTATTTAACTTTTTTGTGAAATAACCCGAAATATTTTACACGTTACTTATGAAATACCACGTTGGGCGCCATTTGATGTTATATGAAGTAGGTATGTGAACTTTTGTAAAAAAAAAACATTAAAAAAAATTATATCTTTATGAAGCTTGATTGGTTTTATCTTTGGTTTGTATTGGGACCCACATTGGGCGCCATTGAAAAGAGCAGTGTGCCAAATTCTGTATTCCGTTCTCTTTTATCCCAAATACCTATTTCTTGTGATTAAAATTAAAAACTATTCCAAGAAAATTTTTGTTTTGAAAAAAAAAAAAAAAATATTATTATTAGAGGGTGTGAAGATACAATGAATAGATTTGCAGACAAATCTGTTAAAGAAGAATTTTACACAAGGATGCTGATGAAATGTAAACCCCCACTCAGTCAATGGTCGATGGCCACAAATGATATGAACTGTCTATCAACATCATATCAGTGTTGGAATATCTAGTTATTTTTTTTATAAAGACATGACAACAATTACAACAACAACTAGCACATTGGCAGTTTTTCTTATTTCGTTTCTTTTGAAAGGGATTGTTTTATATTATCTCAATGAAATTCTTTGAAATTTTCTTAAATTCAACAAATGTTTGGCATATCCAGTTTTTATTTATGAAAATGTATCCATCCATCAAAAGATGGATATCAAAGATAACATTTATGTTGGCGATAAATAAACTCAAAATGAAGGTACAATGAACGGGTGGCATTATACGATAGACAACAAATGATGATGATCAGCAGCTAAATTCTGAGAAGATGAAAATAAAACAAAAAATATTGAATTACGTATATAAATATAATTAGAATACCAATCTCAAATAATTATAAAATTTTCGGCAAGAGGTTAGAAAGATCAAAAAAGCCTTTGGAGGCATTAAAAAACTCATTTAGAAGGTATGGAGGACTTTCATCGGTATACAAATGCTTCTGAAGCTCTTCTATGTTTCTAAAGCTCTTCTATGTTTCTGAAGCTCTTCTATGTTTCTAAAGCTCTTCTATGTTTCTGAAGCTCTTCTTGGTGTAAAAGCCTCAACGACGCTATTTTATGGATTTAAGGCCTTTTGAACTTTATTAATGGATATTAGCTCTTCAAAAGCTTTTTAAAAAGCTCTTCTAAAGCTCTTCCATGCAGAGAAGGTCTTTAGAAGCTCTTCTTTAAACAAATCACCCCAAAATCACGAA